ATAGCCTTCACCATGATACTGGTCAGTAAAACTAAAAACTGAGTAGTAGAAACTGAGTTTGATCAACACCCCTGTGCTGAGGAGAACCAGCAAGCAGTATGGTGGCTGCTTGAACTTCCCTTAGCTTCAGGCCCAGGAAGATTCTGAAATAATTCAAAGCAAAGGAGGAAGAACTTTGAATGCTCCTGCTCCCAATGTGCTGTGTACACATTGCCTGGTTCAAAGAAGATGAGAAGAATCAGGGAGCAGAGCACCAAAAAGTCATCAGTTGCCATCTGTCAAACATTTTGCAAGTGGCTGCCGCTACAGCTGGATCTTCTAAACATGTTTGGATGAAAGTGAGTAGAGAGCCGGGAAAACACTGAGAAGCAAGTGAAGGAGGCAGAGGAAGTTGAAGTAGGTTGAGGGAGTAAAGAGCCCCTCAGCAGAGCTGAGAATGTGGGAGAACAGAACTGGGTAGGGCTAAAATATATGCAAGTGAGTAGGAAGGAAGCAGATGCATGTAAGGGGATGGAGTGGGGTCAGTAGGAGAGCAGGAAAAGCACGGCGTCTAAAGGGTCCTGCAAGGGTCACACCACATGTAGAAATCTTCCTGTTAAGGACTGAAATCACAACTACACTGGCTGAATTAGGGAGCTATGGCACTGTAAATAGAAGTGGTTTACACAAACAGCAAACTCCTCTGCTAAGAGGTTATCTAGGGAAGTATGGAAACATTAATTAGGAAGCAATTTTTAACCTTGGCAGCTGCCTTACCCTGTCTCCCCAAAAAGGCAGGTGAAACCTGATGGATACAGGGTTTTGCAATGCAAAGGCATATTTCTTGTTTAGTAAATGTTCCTGATTTATACAACGATAACAAGAATCTAGGGACATCACTGTTCTGCCTTTCTATCTCTATGGGTTAGAAGTTTAAAGTTCTAGTATTGCCATAATTTTTTTTTTAAACACTGAAATACCCAGTCTGGACATGGTGTATCTTTCCCACTATCTGGCATTCTGCAGCAACAACCTCATTTGTATTCTGTCTTTTACTTGAGCAAAGAAAAAAAAAACCCACTCTGCATTGCCACAACTAAATCCTTCCCCACTGCAATACAGAGATTGCCAAACAGTCGCACTAAATTCAACATGTTCCTATTAACATATTTTATTCATACTGATGGTCGGCTTCACAGTGCGCTCCCAAAGACTTGATTTAAAATTTAAGATCCAGACTTCTAACAAAATATATAAAACAAAACAAAGTGAGTGTCTTGTTCTACACAGAAGTACAACAGAGCTGCTTCTCCTTCAAGGCTCATCTATCACAGATTTCAGGCAGAAGGTTTTTTTCCCCACACAGGGCTGGAGTGTCTTCCTGTACAAGGGAAAAATTTGTGACTTCTAAAAGAATCATTGTCTATAAAGTCCTACTTCTTTTTTGAGTTAAAAATTAATTTCAGGCTGTGGATAAGTTTTGGACCTGATGATACCACAAAGCGAGGCTTCCTCCAAGATAATGTTCTTAAGTAGACTCCACCTTGACAGGCAAAGTCCCTAACTCCAAACCAACTGTTGAGGCACTGTATTTGTCTTGACAAGCAGGAGTGGCCATGTCTGTTGGGGAATAAGGTTTCCCTGGCCCCTCTGATTGGGTCTTCACACAGCAGGCTTTTCTTTACACTCTTATTCTGATCGTGAAAGAAAGCCCAGCTAAACCCATCAGGTGACTTCAGGTAAGACATTGCAGGCAATCTGCAAGCTTTGTGGGCCAGAGCCATTTTTCATAGGACTCTCCTCAGCAAATCCAGCATTTCACCCGTGGGTCTGAGAAGAACTTACAGTAGCATCCTCCATGTGCAATAAAGGCTGTGTAACATTTTACTCCAAGCTACACACGCCATGGCACTCTTGTCACACAGTGGAGACTCAGGAAGCTGGAGATGATCTGGGCTACACTAAACTCTAAACAAAACCCATGAAGAAAAAATTAATTTCTAAGGGATGGTTCACCTCTCAGACATGTTTTGGGTTAAGGGGACTCTCCATCTGAAACTCGTCCCATCATGTCAGAAAGAAGCAGGCAGAGTTCACAGCAAGCACTGTTACTTTTCTGATACCCAAACTTAATGAGGCAGATCTATAATTTCTTTTGTGGGCAGAGCAGAACACCTGCAGAGAAATGGGGAAACAAAGAAGCATCAGCTTCTGGTAATGGTCTGTGTCAGGAGCAGCAGGCCAGGAAAGATACCTCCCCTTATGCTACATGAACCATTTCCTGCAACACTTTAGTTTCTTCTCACTATTTAGCAGCTGCTTTGTGAATTTCTACTGGCAGCCATCAGAGTTCACCCTTGGCACCACATACAATCCCCACAGCCATGAGGTTAGCACTGCTCCATGAATGACACTGCAGTCCAGGAATGGCAATACTGGGCTGAGCTGGGAGCCAGACAAGGTGATGAGGCCAGGTCCAGTGGCAATAGCCATAACCAGCTGCAGCCCAGTGCTGTCCAGGCAAAGCCAAAGTAATAAGGAAGGCCTGAGGTGAAGCTAGGAACTTGAGCCAAGCCTAGATACAACATGCATTTTACACAGTTCAGGCCAGTTCTCAGGCAAGGATCTCAGCTTTATGCTGCACCTGGGCCAGGTGGAGGGTGGTTGGAGCAATGACAACTTGCTGGAATACTTCAGGTCCTGACAGCCATTGTGAGGGGAAGTCTAGGAGAAGTGTTAGCCCTCAACTGGCTAAGCACTCCTAACACTTAACCAACAACAGGATTTACCCTCAGACATGCAGGGTATGTTTCAAATTCCCACCCCACTCTAAGACCTCTTCCTCTCCTACTCTTCATTGATATATAACTATTAATAGTTTCTCATGCGAGGAGCTGGAAGCAGAGGGAGAGCTAAGAATATAACACTATTAAATGCTACAATCAATGACTTGCAAAGGAATAGAGAAGGTATGCTGGCTGCCAGCTTATCCTTCTGTCACCAGAGCCGCCCAGGCGGCACCAGCTCCCTGGCTGAGGCAGCTCAGCCACGGCTATAATTCAGTTGAGTCCAAAGTTTTCTTTTGACAGGAAAAGCTGAAACAGCAGAGGGCTTCTTGCCATCGTCTCTGGACAAGCCAAGGAGAGGCAGGAATGGTTTGTTTAATGCCATGTCTCATTATTCTTGGCACTTCATGACTCATTAAATGTCCTAGTTTTGTAACTAACTCCTGCTGAGCTCAACATTTGATACACATTTATGGGTGGCCTGTTGGCTGTACTAACAATTCATAATTCCTCTAACTATCTTAACTCCTTCCTTTGCATGCTAGGCTTCCTTTAAACAACTATAAAATAAAGATACTGGGGACTTCAGTTTTTAACACAGAATGAATTACATGTATTTGGAAAATTTATTAATATAGCTATATGCTGCAGTTAGCTGCACTCATTCTGAGTTCAAATAAACTGTGCTGGATCCTAATGCTTCTTACACTACTCCCCTTCTGTATTCATTTGGCTTTTACTATGGATATATCCATGCACATGAATACTTGATATTGATGCCCCTTCAAAAGAAGGGCAGCAGCACACTTAGCAATATTTCTTCACTTGTATAAAACAGGAACAGGAGCCAAATTACCCTTCTTGGCCATTACATATAGGAATTAGAAGTAAGAGGCTCCTGTTCAGGAACCTTCTTGTGATATGAGTGATTTTGTCAGCTTCCTCCATTTTCCAGCTTGCTTTCTTTGCAAAGACCAGTGAGAATTCACAATAGAGCCCACCAACATGTTGACAGGACAACTGCAAGAACTCAGCACAAATTTGACAGGCACCAGTATTTCTGGAATTGACAGCATATTTAACCTGTCTCTTCTGAAAACATCATGCATGGTCACCTTGGAGTTAGGCAGACAGGTATGTGATTTAGGTTAATTTTTCTCTCATTCACTCGAAGCATAGAATCAGTTTAGTCACACTGAAAAGAGTGAGTGACTTTGAGTATACAGTCAAAAAATCCAGTCTGTGTATTTCAGGGCATGACTGAAAAGCCACTAGCAGAATCACACAGTTCTAAACTGAAGGTATCTTGGATTACTTTAAACTCTAGGTGGACATAAGTTGCAGCTTCAAAGAGAGTCATAGAAGTGTGTCTGATCCCAGGCTACTTTGTATGAGAATAGTATGAAATTCAGAGGTGTCAGACAACTTACAAACTGACTTTGTATTGGGTTTGGTTGGGATAGACTCAACTTTCTGCACAGCAACCTAGAGGTTCTGTTCCTTTCATCTGTAGTAGGTAGAAAAGAACACTGGTAGCACACGGGTTTGGGTATTGCTGGGCAGTGCTAGCACAGTGTCAGGGCTTTCTCTCCAACACCCCACCAACCACTTTGAAGGTCTGTAAGCTGGAGATGGACAAGAGATTGGCAGAGGGAATAACTGGGACAACTGACCCAAATAACCAAAGGGATAGCCCATGCCATATGATGTCCTCCTTAGAAATAAAAGTTGAAAGAAAGGAGAATGATGGGAGGACATTTGTGGTGATGTCATCTATCTTCCCAAGAAACTGCTATGCCTATTGAGGCCTTGCTTCCCAAAAAATAGCTGGACATCTGCCTGCTGATGGGTTATAGTGAATGAATTCCTGGTTTTACTTTGCTTCCATGTGCAGTGTTTTTTGTTAAGAAAACAAGATTTCTTAACAACTGTGCTTTTAGCAAAGCATGAGATTTTCTATGGCATTTTCTCCCTCAGCCTTTTCAAGGAGTGAGAAAGAAGCTGGGTAGGTACCTGGCAGTCAGTTAAGGCCAGCCCTCCATGGGATTCTGGACAAAGATTAATTTTCCTGACTGTTCTTTCCATTTTGGTTACTGCTGATGGTAAAGAAAACAGATGATGACTTCAAAGGCATTTTCATGGAAGAATTGTCAATTTCATTTAATACTGCAAACCTGGAACATTCAATAAACATCAGTCCTGATTAAAAAAAATAAAAACCACTTGGGGTCTTACCTCTTAAGCCTTGGTGTGTGAGCCTATGAGGATGTGGTTTTATGAACAACATATTCTAGCTCAAGCCTGTGGTGCCCTACTGAGACTAGCCCCACCCTTACTAGAGCTTAATTTTGTATTCCTGCTGCTTGCCTTAGGTCAACGCTAGCAGTCAGGAGAGTCAAATGAGCTTCAAGATCTGGCTGACAACACAGGGACAGGAAGGGTCTCGTTCATCCTTGCAAAGTCTTTTGTTTCAGAGGTGGTTTGCAGTAGCAGCAAGACTGTGTTCAGAGGCTACCATAGGGTGGTCCAGGGGGAGCAGATGATGCAGGAGGTCTGCACAAGAGGACAGTTTGTCACCGCAGCATTTCTTCCTCTGTGCAGCAGTTCCTGTCAGCAGGAGAAAAAGAAATCACTGATTTCAGTCAAGTGCTTTTTCTGCATTTCTGTCTTTGTCCTGCATTGCTTTATGCAAGGGTGAGACACTGACTATTGGTCACTCAGGCTTTTGCTGAAGGATGTGTTTTAAAGTTAGAAACATGGCTGTTACAAAACAAAGAAAGTGCCCAAATTCCTCCCTGGAAGAGTGAAAACAACAAATTGCAACACACAGACTTCAGTGTCAGAGAATACATTTCTCTGGAAGGGATTTAGTTATTTTCTTACCCCATGAAACAGGAGTCATCTCAGAAAAGACTTCCTGTGAGGATTTTGTTCCTTTGGGAAGGAGGATGAGTTAGTGGCTGGAGATGAAATGCAAAGGTGTTTTCAGCATAGCAGCTGGCTGCTCGGTTTTCTAATATTGTACATTACATCGTTAATGGAAATGTTGCTTTGTACCTTCTGTTTTTCTCCCAGTAGAATTGATTCCAGCACTGTTTGCATGCCGAGCATGCACACTCACAGCTACGAGCTCTGGGGACAGGCACAGCTTGGACCTGCACTGATAAGATCACAAAGTTTCTGCAACAGGGCTGGGAGCTGAACCCGCTGCCTTTGCCAAGTGACTTCACAAGACCATCTCTCTCCTGCCCACAGGAACCATCACACACCACTATAGACAGGCCTCGAGAGTCAGCGGATTGGGGCAAAGGCATCTGGCTATTTTGAAGTCCTTTGGGAGATCTGCAGGAACAGGAGTCTTCTGTTCCACTCTGTGATGCAGCAAAGAGGGGGAAAAAACCCCCACCATTTCCCACAGAGCAGCTAACCCTTCCCAGTTTGCTAATCCAATCTGCACTTCTGCTTCTGCCAGGAATCAATCTGTTTCAAGGCTGCACGTGTCATTTTATTAAGAAATAAGAGAGAGGGGGGAAGAGCAGCTTTAAAAGCAGCAGGCCGTGCAGGGGCTGGGAAATACAGGCTGCCAAGTCTTTGGGAACACTCAGAGAGGAAAGTACCACAGGAGTGCCACATGGCAGTGCTGCTGGTATAGGTACCATGCTGCTAAAGCAGCTCTCTACATGCCAGTTATGAAGAGACACAAATTGTGGAGCTGGAGACACGGAGCTCACTAAATCAAATGGTCACAAAATGGGAAGTAAAGGGAATATATTTTTCCATGCTATAGGAGCCACTGACCCAAGTGGAAAGCCCCAGGAGAAAAAGCTACAGGACATATTAAGTACTTCCCTGGGAGATGACTGTGAATCAAGTAGCTTGGTTTTCACTTGGATTTTCAGACACGTTTGTGAAGAAAATGAGGGTGCAAAAGCTGGAGAGATTTCTGAGATGGCAATGCACCAAATACTGCATGTTATGGTGGGGGTGCTCAAGGTACACAAACTGCAGAGACATCTAACTTGTGTTTCACCCTGCTGAAAGCAAGTCTCAACTCCTAATTAGCTGCTCAAACCAAAAGGAGGTCATTTATTTTCCAAGTGCTCAGGAAAAAGGGTGAAACTGTAGGATGTGAAGAAGAGCTTGTGCTCTATTATTGCACTGCCAAAGCACAGCATCTTAAATAAAGTCAGCAGTATTATTTTGTGTATGATTAGGAGGAAATTGTAATCCCTCATCCAACATTACCTGAGTCTGCAGTTACCAGAGTGTAAATCAGGCCATAACTATATACGCACAGCCATTAATTTACTGGGTCCCAATCAGCATAACTATTACTGTTTTGTATAGTAGGAGAAGAAAGCACAACAGCAAATTTCTTTACTGGCTACTTTGTCTCCAGAAAGACAACTTGCATTGTCTTTCTTTACATCACTGGACACCAAAGTTCTTAATACCGACAAGACAAAAACCTCTTAAAGGCAAAGCCTAAGAATCATTAAGGGTACAAAATAACTCTAAGATCATCAGGTCCAATGATTAATCCCGTACTGCCAAGTCCATCACTAAACGGTGTCCCCGCATGCCATGTCTTTTGATGGAGATATCTATGGAGAAGGTTCACTACTTCCTGGAGCAACCTGTTCTAGGGCTGGATAATCCTTTTGGTGAAAATTTTTTTCTTAATATCTAATCTAAACCTCCCCTGGTAGAACTTGAGGCCATTTTCTCTTGTCCAATCACTTGCTATATGGGACCAGAGACCAATTCCACATCTGGCTACAACCTCCTTTCAGATAGTTATTGAGAGCAATAAGGTCTCCCCTGAGCTTCCTCTTCTTCAGGCTAAACAACCCCAGCTGCTTCTCACAGGACTTGTGCTCCAAACCCTTCACCAGCTCTGTTGCCCTTCTCTGGGCACTTTCCAGCACCTCAATGTCTTTCTTGTAGAGTGGGCCCCAGAACTGTTCACAGTTATCAAGATGTGGCCTCATCAGTGACAAGTACAGGAGGACAATCCCTGCCCTGCTCCTGCTGGCCACACTATTGCTGATCCAGGCCAGGATGCCATTGGCCTTCTTGGCCACCTGGGCACACACTGGCCAAAAGCAGTGCAAGGTCAAACCCTTCTTTTCTTTGGCCAGTGTTCACCAAGCAGAGGGTGAATCCAGCTCTGAACCTGTCAATAAAGTCTGTCAAGGTGGTGAGTCACCTTCACCTCTTGAGAATCCTGGAGGTTACCTGGCAGCTTGTCCAGTCAGCTCAGCCTTGGTTAAAAAAATCAAAGGGACAATTTGAAGCTGAAAGTGAAAGTAAGTAACTGTGGGATTTTGCAAATACCAATCTGCCTGCAACATATCTCTTGTGTAACACGGAATACTGTTCAAATGTAGGGACTTTTTATTCAGCTCAAAAATTAATTAATGTTCAAATGTAGCTATAACGAAGCTCTCTCTAGCACTGACAGTGTAAATTAATTGCCATCCTTCCTTGTGAGGGGAGGTGGAAGGACGGGTACTGATCTCTTCTCTCTGGTGAACAGTGACAGGACCCATGGGAGTGGCCTAAATTTAACCATGGGGAGGTTTAGGTTGGATATTAGGAAAAGGTTCTTTCACCCAGAGGGTGGTTGGGTACTGGAACAGGTTCCCCAGGGAAGCAGTCACACCACCCAGCCTGAGAGTTCAAGAAGTACTTGGACAATGCTCTCAGGCACATGGTGTGGCTCTTGGAGATGGTGCTGTGCAGGGCTAAGTTGGACTTGTGGGTCCTTTCCTACACAGAATATTTTATGATTCTGTGATCCTGTAATTTTAAAAGACTTATTTTCAGCAATTTGACATACATTAACTACGCTTTCTAAAACATAGAAATACTGTTAAAAGCGCAGTAAACACCACCACAGCAATGGCACTTCCTTGTCCCAGCAGACTCAAAGAGATCAACACTCCTGACCTATGACTCATCCTGAAGACGATTTTAATTGCAGGGGACAGGAAAAATTTACCTGCTGGGACTGTTGTGATTGTGAGAACAAAACCTGCCCCTGATGTGCCCTGAGCCACAGCAGGTGAGGACAGGCAGGAGAAGTGGGTACCTGGGAATCTCATGAGGTTTAACAAGACCAAGTGCAAGGTGCTGCACCTGAGTCAGAGCAACTCCGGAATCAACACAGGATCGGGGATGAGCAGGTCGAGAGCAGCTCTGACCAGGAGGACTTGGGCGTGCTGCTGGGTGAGAGGCTGGACATGCTCTGGCCACGGGCACTCGCAGCCCAGAAGGCCAAACGTGTCCTGGGCTGCATCCAAAGGACAAGGGGGGGAATCTACCCCTGCGCTCCGTGAGACCCCACCTGGAATGCTGCATCCAGCTATGGGGCCACAGCACGGGAAGGACATGGACCTGTTGGAGAGAGTGCAGAGGAAGCACCAAGATGATCCCAGGGATGGAGCACCTCTCCTATGAGGAAAGGCTGAGAGAACTGGGTTTGTTCAGCCTGGAAAAGGCTTTGAGGTGACCTAATTGTGGTCTCCCACTACCTGGAAGGGAGCTCACAGTAAAGATGGGGAAAGGTTATTTACAAGAGAATGTAGTGAGAGGAGGAGGGGGAATGAGTTCAAATCGAAAGAGTAGGTTTAGGTTAGATATTAGAGGAAAAAATCCTCTACCCTGAGTGTGGTAAGGCACTGGTTCCCCAGAGAAGCTGTGGACGCCCCATGCCTTGGAGATATTCAAGGCTAGGCTGGATGGGGCTTTGATAAACCTGGTCTCGTGGAAGGTGTCCCTGCCTATGGGAGCGCTGTTGGAAGAGGATGATGAACTTCACACTGCCCCCAGCGCACCGCACTCGGCGGCGCCGGTTCCGTGAGGGGAGGGCGCTGCCCCCGCAGCGGGCGGGCCCGGCACCGCCCCCGCTGCCGGCAGCGCCGCTCTGCAAGATGGCGTGGGCGCCGCCTCCATCGGCGGCCCAGCTCTACAGGCCCAACCGCTTCGTCTCGCTGCCCGCCGAGCTCGACCCCGCCACCTACGACACGTCGCCGGAGAAGCTCCGCGCCGAGACCGAGCGCCTGGCGATCCGCTCCCGGCTCAAGCGGCAGTACCTGCTGCAGCTCAACGACCCCAGCGCGCCCGCCGTCATCGTGAGTGGGGACGGAGAGGGGCGAGGGGGCGGCGGGGCGGCGCGGGGCTCGTCCGCCTCACCCGCGGCTCCCGCAGCGGGGCTGGGGCCGTGCCGAGCCCGGGGCCGTGCTCGGGGGCCGTGCTGTGCTCGGGGGCCGTGCCGTGCTCGGGGGCCGTGCCGAGCCCGGGGCCGTGCTCGGGGGCCGTGCCGTGCTCGGGGGCCGTGCCGAGCCCGGGGCCGTGCCCGGGGCCGTGCCGTGCCCGGGGCCGGGCCGTGCCCGGGGGCCGGGCCGTGCCCGGGGCCGGGCCGTGCCCGGGGCCGGGCCGTGCCCGGGGCCGGGCCGTGCCCGGGGCCGGGCCGTGCCCGGGGCCGTGCCCTGGGCCGAGCCCGGGGCCGTGCCGTGCCGGCGGGACGCTGCCCGCCCTCCCCGTGACCTCGGTGCCCTTCCCGCTGCGGCCTGGCCTGCCCGCCGGGCTCTGCAGTGAC